TGTTTCTTAGTCAGTTATTTTTGGATTTGCGCTTCTGTTGCCACTACTGCTTTTTAAATTGCAAGAAAACACCTCAGCTTCCATCTCTGCATTTGCGTCCTCTAAAATCTCCACACAACCTGACACTCATAGAACTTTATTTAAAAGAGGGAAAAGTGCAGCACAATTACAGACCTACCAAAATGTTTTTTTTTTTTGTCAACCCACAATCAAACACTTGGCCAGAAAGGTGTAGGATCAGGGAACCTGTTGATCTTTCATATCAGCTTTTAGTCATGTAATTTATAAATCTGGCCTCCATGGAGGAATGAAAAATAGCAGTGAATGAATGAAAAAAAAAAACTGATCTATTTAGTCTACATCTGCATTACTGACCCCGAGTTAGCTAAAAGTCCAAATCCAGACCTATTTGCATAAAACCACTTAACCTGGAGCAAGAATTTATAAATGATAGGGGTCTGAATTCATATGCATAACACAGAGTTCCCAGTGTTTGATAAGTACATTTCAAAAAATCCTTCCATTTTACTTTTATAGATTACCTTGAAATGTTAATTTTTTAAAAATAAAAAACCTTCCACTTAACTTATAGATTACCTTTAGTTGGTTGGTCACATTTAATTCTTATGAAATACTTTGCAGTGTTTAACTGAGGAATTGTGAAAAAGGTCTCCATTTATCGAGGTTATGAAAATACAATATATCAGAAAATGATTATATGATAAGTAAAATACCATTAAATGTTTCAACTAATAAAGGACATGTACATTTTTCAAGGAAGTTCTGGGAGGCAACTCAGTATATTAGAGTAGAGCCTGTGTAAAATGGCAGGGTTATGAAACTTATCACTTTATGCCACTAAAAACACATGACAGTGGGTTAAACAAGGTAGCTACATATAAATGTGTTAAAATGGGCCTTATCTCCAAAGCAGAGGTGAGTCACAACTCCTCGCTGCTTTCTGGTGGTCATCTAAGGAATAACAAAACAAAAGTGCCTGTAACCCTTTTTCTCTAAAGGAGGAGTGTTTGTAACACTTTTAATATTCAATTTTAAGTACTATTGGGAGTTCAACTTTTTATTCTACGTTTAATCTAATCGCTTTAGTGTGGCCTTACCCTATGTTGCTAAGTGGCACACATTGTTTCACTCAATAGATGCCCTTAAAAGATCCTGTTGACACTGAAGAGTTACTCATTGTCAGTTTAAGGAAGAGGACACAGATAGAGAGAACAAATACTTTCTCTTGAGCACTGACTGAATAGAGAAGAAGGGGAAAGGTGGAAGCCAGTGAGATGTGCTTCCTTCTCCATTTCCTTCTCCTTTTTTTCTTAAAGTTATTTTAAACTAATGCTTATGTGCAAGGCCAAGGACCGTTTGGAACCCAATGCAGCTTTTAAGTCTTGTTTTATGCTTGTCTAATTATTTCTATATACATCTAGTAAGAAAACACAGAATATCATAATACAATTATGCATTTTTACATCGCAAAATGTCAAATCTCCAAACTTAAGTTTGTCTTATGATTTATACATTATTAGTCTGATAGTGATGAGGGTTTCTTGGCTTCCAAAGGTGAAAAGCATTCCATGTATCTTAAAGCACAGTTTACCTTATTATTGTATTTACCGCTCTTTAAATTAGATCTGAGTTTTACAGAAATTTTTGGGCAACTGATGGCCTGCACCTTCCCCATGACTGCTGAATCTACAATGATGCTCAAAATAACAACAGAATTAATGGAGATCTTCTCTGGTAGAAGATGTCATTAATTTAAGATGTCATCTGTCAGATCTCTTACAATGTCAGTGATTTTGCAAACAGACAAGCTGGGAAGTTTAGCTTTGAAGGATTGAGTAGACTGCTAAAAAAGAAAAGTGTTAAATAAAAAGGTCATATATGTCGCTAAATGCAGTTTTTGTTTTTAAATAGTTTAGCGTATACATTAATTTCCATAGATTTTAGGGCTAATTATTATTATTATTCAGGTGACTTTTATTTCCATTTTGTAAGAACATGCTTGATATGTTGAAAATTGTTTACTTGAATCAGTAGTGTCTGTTTTTTTTTTTTTACATTTTTATTCTAAAAACATATATAACACATTAAATGTTTACTGCAAATTAACTGCATATTAGTTGATTTTAATTCCTTTAGTTAAACTAACCGAGGTTTAATAATAGAAGTCTCTAAACAGAGCTGCAAAACGTTATTAGTAAGTGTGTGAATGATCTTCATATTCATATGAGATCAGAGTTTTCAGTCTTACAACAAATCCATCTTGAAAGATGGACTCCTGCTTATACGTCCGTCTCGTAACAACCAGCGATTCGGACCAATGACATGCCAGCAGGGTTTTTTGGGGCGGGACATGTAGGAATAATGACAGTCAGAAGGGCCTTTCCGCGGCATTTCAAACAATGCTACGCTGGAAGAGTCAGTTCTCGATACCGCCATTGACTCAGTTTTAGCTAAAATAGCGACAATTTCTCATTTAAAAAGGAGCAAAGAGAAGCACTTTGTGCATTTGTAGATGGGATGATTGTTTCTTCTGACAGGATTTGGAAAAAGTTTGATTTATCAGCTTGCTCCGCTAGTTGTGAAAACACTCAAGATGCTGCAGACAAGTCCTATTTTGATTATCGTGTCGACGATTGGCTTAAAGTGTACTAACTGGCACATCACCCAATCAGTTGGAAGTATTGTTCTAAACGTCCCTCCTTTTTTACGGACAGACTGAATGGCAGCCATCCCTTATTGATAACATAGAACTAGACTCAGTTCTACACTTATCAATCTGGCCTGGTTAGTTGACTGGAACAGTGTATATTATTGGTAGAAACAGAGGGCCCAAAATGATTCTGCTTAGGGCCCCATGGAAGCTTGATCCGCCCCTGCTTATCTGCATGTTTAGGGAATTGCTTTCATATGCCGTGCATGTCGTGTTTATTGGCGCTCTTGTAGAGATGACTAAAAATCCTTAAATGTTTATATATTTTTTTACTGCAGTCTCATAATGCTAAACTGACATATGCAATAAAATTCAGCCTTTATCAAGTCAGCTGGTGAAAACATCTCTGAAACATCTTTAATTACATGGCAACAACTGTTTGTAAACCTGACAACTGCTGTAAAATAAATGTTGGTTAATACATAATGCATCTTGTACTGAGGATACGATTAGATACCATTAGAAGTGAGCTAATACTATTTAGTGGCTGGGTGTGTGAAACATGCTGTATGTTAAAGCAAGGATGTACTGGACAGACTGAATAAATTCAAGGACTTATTTCTGATTTTGTGGATTTGAGGCTCTTTAGCATCTGTAGAAAATGAAGGTAATTAAAGAAAGGAAAAAAAGTCAAACTTGTGTTCAGTGGTTTGGTTAATCTGAGTATAATTCTTGACATTGTAAGCTACATATGTAGATAATGCAAAATGTGATGTAATTTCCTGACTAAATTATAACAGAAAAACTAAACAATTAAAGCAATTTTGCAATATATATCTGAATTTGAAATATCTAAACGATTAAAACAATTGTTCTAAAAAAATATGCGGATACATTTTTATGCTTATTGCAAAGAAGGGGCCAGCAGCTGGGCAATAAGGGGACCTTCAACCAATTAGATCTAATTAGATGTAATTAAAAAAGGGAAGCCTATTCATAACTAGATGTTTTAACTAATTTACTGAGTCATGTTTGAGCAAGACCTACCTCAATAAAATAAGTGTTTTGAGATTAAACATTTTGTTGCATTTCTTGAATGCTTTTTGTCTCTATTTAGCATCATATAAAAATTTAGACAAATTGATGATTCAGTGTTCAAATTAGAATCTATATTTATTTTAACATCTGATTTTAAGTACAAGATTACAGTCGATCAGTTGAGATTAAAAAGAATTGCAATAAAAACTAAAAGTGTTTAGTTTACAAAGGATTAACATCTAAACAGCAGGTCATGCAGTTGTGAAGAATGGCAAAGGATCTTTAAAGTTTTATATTCTAACGGCCCCGTGATCCTTGTCAGAAAGCGTGATATTGTTAGCTCTATAAACCTCAAGAATCAATCAAAAAAACTTAAAAGCTATCGTTTTTTTCAGCAGAAACATTGTAGAAAAACACACGATCCAGAAAAAAAAAAAAAAAAAAAAAAAAAAATATATATATATATATATATATATATATATATATATTTCACAAACCTAAGCAAACGAGACAAGCTAGGATTCTGGAAAAAGAGAAAGACAGTCCAGCAGAACTCTCCCTGTATGCTGTAAAACCATTAAATATTACAAGATGCTTTCCTGAGAAAATACCAATGATGTTGTAAAACTTCTTTATCTTTGATTGAGAGTTTGGTTGTCACAGAATACATTTTCTAAAGAAAAAGTTTGGATTTCTTCTCATTTTAATTTTTTTTCCCCAAATCCTTACCAAGATAAATATGACTGACCATGCTAATGTGCTTTTATTCAAACCCATAGGCCAATAACACCCCTGCTGCTTTCATGCATATTCACTGCTCAACACATGATTCAGTCTGTGAAGAATCAAAGTATTTAGCATTTTATCTCTAATACAGAATCTGTTCTTTCAACTGAATCATTCATGAAAATATGCAAAATATGGTGACAAAACTTAACATTTACCAACTGCAGAGATATTTTTATACTTATTAATACTGTTTTCTGTGCGCCTAAAGTTCAAACTGAAGTTTCTTAATAAATATAAATCAATTATTTTCTTTTTGCTATTTATTTTCCCTTAGAAGCTTATAAGAAAACTTGGAGCTAATCATAAAGTAAGTCAATCATCAACAATTACAGATACACAAATTCTTACATATTTTTAAAGTTATTTAGACCTATAGGGGCTCAAGATTGAATAAAAAAAATAAAAGATATACAATCCAATCAAATAACATAAAAGTTACACTGTAACATGTGAAAGAGAACATACAAATTAGTAATGGAAACAAAGCCAGTGGCCAAACAAGTATAGACAAGATGTGGAAATTTAATAATGCAATTCAACTCACTCTTTATTTTGTACTGTACACTGTCCTTGTTTAACTAACTAATACACTAAAATGACATACATTGATGGGATCCAATCATACAAAGAGAAGGTTTTTTTAAACACTGCAATTCAATTTTGCAACATTTATTGCTGCAATCAGTCCCATTAACATCAAAAGCAGCTACGAAGTTAGTTGTTGTGTAAAAAGAAAGGGAAAAACGTTCACATGCTTTTTGACTGTATTTTTCAATCTAATGGTGCATTAGAAATATGTCATGCAATATGTATTCTCTTATGGCAATAAGAGACCCACAGTCCAACAAAAAAAATACAAAAAATCCACACAATGAATGAAATCATAAAAAGAGCTCAGTTTTATGTACATGCTGTACCTGGAGATACATTTAAGGGATAGAAATGTAAAGTAAATCTAAGCTGCTCCTCTATGACCTTGGTTTTCCAGAAACACAGATTATAAAAAGCCCGAGAATTATTTTGCTACTTCAGTCTGTTAAGGAATGTGAATATATAAAAGTAACCATTAAAAAATGATATCAGAACATAAGCTGGTGGGCATATTTATACAGAACACATGATAATACAGAGGGAAGATAAAACATTAATCTAGGAGAATACAAAAACTCTCTTTATCCAAGTGATAACTTTACCCTGAATTACTGCTCTGCTAACAGATTCTAACTACCATTTAGTTCATTACTGTGTAAATGCATGTATGGAGAATAAAGCACAAAGCTCTAATCACTGCAAACTAAATGCCTCTCATGAGTCCAGGTCAGTGACCTTCATTGACTGTCAAAGCCTGAACATCCCGGGTGGCTTTCAGTATAACATGCACAATGGTAATATGTAATCTTTAACTACATTACACATTTGCAAACCTCCAGCAGTACTTACTTTATAATCTTTCAGAGGGATATAAAGTTTATTGCTGCATGCTGACACCTGTAGCCCCAGATTCTTCCAGAAGTTCAGCGTCTCATTGAAAAGTCCAGTAATCATTAACCACATTCAAAACAGAATTAGGCAGAGATGTGAGAATTTATAAGAAAAATTAAAGGTAAGATTTGATGCTATAATTTCGTAACATTAAGTATTAAACAGTTGGATAGCATCTAAGTTGAGGAGGAGTTATTATTGTATTGTGATTTCTTCTTGGACAAGGATATTGGTAGACCTTTAATATTATGGTTATTTATTCTATAGTATGTCACCCAGAACTGACAATCCTATGACTTTTAAAATGACTGTCCTCCTCCTCATCACCACTCAATGATCTGTTAAATAAAGCCTTTTACTGCTGGGGGATTTGTCTTGTTAAAAAGGAATAATTCATCTTTACTGCTGCTGCTACAAGCTCCTTTAGTCAAGCTTCCTGAGAGGAAATGTTATTTTCTTCTAATAAAATATACATTTAGACTTTATTGTGTTGTATATTGGACCAAACTCAACAATATATACATGACAGGCTCTGAATTTAACATCAGATTGGGATGAATTATATTAAATAAATGCGATTAAAAATAAACTGGGGTTGTTTATCTTGTAAAGTGTAACGTGACAACAGCTGCTTTTGTCTTTTTTATATAAAAACACTAAATGAAATCCATTTTTTAGGTCAATATGCCTGTGTAACTGTACACAGTGGAATATTTATCTACACCAGCAGATGGCAGTACAGGACAAATGTTCCTTTAGATGCAGCATTGGGGGCATGGACATCTGCAAATAATTCTTAACAGCAAAAATTTACTTTTTAACAGACAGATAAGAGAGGCCTAGATTAGTTTATTAAACAAGAAAAAATAATTAATGATGCTGGGAAATCTAACAGCTCTTAACCGCTTTAATGAAGCTCGACTAAAAGAAAGAGAAACATCCAGCCATGCATCTGAACACCAACTTGTTTCCTTTGCATTCTTCCCCATATATTGAACAGTGTTCACACCTCATGAGCCTTTATTGGATTTTAAAAGAATACTTTTTTAGTAAGCTTGTAAATTGAAAGAATTTAAATTTTAACTCAATGTGAATCTAAAAGATTTAACTTTCCTTTAAATCCAAACTCAAAAGGGAAAACAGCTGTAACATATCAGGATGTCGCTGGATGTGAAGTTAGATTTAATGTCCAGCTGGAGGGACAATTTTTGCCCAGATCTCACCTCTTTAATGGCTTTTATGAAACATCTGAAATGCCACAATCATCTGGGCTGGTACCGGTACATCTGGACAGATAGCATTTCAATTTAGCTCCAAGGCTTCTGATGCTCCCATCAAACCTACCTGCATGCTTTATAGCTTGTGGCAAAAATGATCGTAATTTAGATTTCATTTAACTGTAGTTTCTTCTCCTCTGCTGATTTTCTCTGTCTTCATGATGTTGATTATCAGTAATATTCTTTAACAAACTGCTAAAGCCTTCACAGGACAATCAAGATGTCCCAATTATGCACATTTTCTAATTAGGTGACTTCTGAGGGTAACTGTTAGAACTGTTTTGTTTATTTAGGGGTATCATAGTAATGCGAATACAACCACATCTTTAAGACTTTTAGGTTTTGCTTTTGTTTTAGGAACAAAGTAAAAGCAAGAGATCCTGTTCCTTGATCTTTTACATAAAAACCCAATAAGTCTTTGGTTTTAACATGTCAAAAACGTAGACAAAAAGAGTTAAAAATGATGTGAAAACCTAAGCATGAAACTAAGTTTAACCCCCTTTTTTCCCCCAGTTGTGGCTCTATGCTCACCTCACACCTTATAGGTGGATCCCACAGTCGACAGGAAGAAGAAAAAAAAAAACACCAGCAGCAATATTTTACAGAACTGGTGAACACCAGGAGGTAGCAGCACTAAAACAGAACATCCTTTACACCAATGCTCCATGCAAACCATGTGTAACCCCTCTATATGACATCCCTTAAAATCGTGGGAACATTCACAGAAAAACTGCTTGTTCTCAACTCTTCAAACAATATTATACACAAGTCAATCCCTATTCTTTTATATTCTCCACACACTCCACCATGTCAGCACTACAACAGCAACCCGAGATTGTAAAAAGACAAAGTAAAAGGACAGCATCTGCCAGTTTAGTCTGCAGAGACAGAGATAACAGGGAGATAAGGAAGCTACTTTATTCCTTGAACTTAAAAAGAGCCTGTGTTGATGGAGAGAATCAAAGAATCCAAACTTTTTAAAAACAACAATCGTATGTTTTAAAATCATCAGAAATTATTAAAACTTTTTATTGTTCATTTTAATGGTAACATGATGCCCTGAAATATTAACAAGCAGGACCAGCCCACTATGAAAGACCCTCTCTCTCCTGCAGCAGGGACTTTTACTTCTTAAAGCATTTGTTAATGCCTTGCTGCTTGGCAACAAACGGCTGCATATTGTATCTTATTCTGTTTGCATGACATTATCTGCAAAGGAGGCATACCCGCCTACAAAACATGCGCCTCTCTTCTCTCACACATGTTCCGTTTTGATTAAAAAAAAAAAAAAAAAAAACGAAAAAGCACCAAAAAGCGAACCGAGACGCAAATACAGTAGAGATGTTGTTGCACAGCTTTGTGAAAAAAGGTCTTGGTTGGCTTTAACTTTCTTTTATTCCCCAACAGTCTGTTAGACACATCTGTTCCCTTTAAATAAAAATAACAATCTTTTTGCAACATAAAAATTAATTCACGCAAGATTTGTTTTTTTTTTCCTTTTCTTTTCACATCATGTACATGTTGTCATGACTTCCTTGTAAAGTTTTCAGGCCGTAACTGGATCCATGCACGAAAAACCCACATGGAGAATAAATAAAGCTCTTTGTAGAAGGCTTGCTGGCCCTCGTCCCGGGTTCTGCTTGCTTCGTCCCTTCCACAGGCAGCAGATACGAGGCTCATCTCATTTCTGCCATAATCCACCAGTTTTATCAGTGTGAATGCCTGTGCAATATGTCAGCTCCAGGTTCTTTTTAAGTGCGGATATGTGGGACATTCAGAGACTCTCCTGGGTCTTTATCAGAGCTCATCGCGTGAGGCTCGGGCAGCAGGAGGCGGAGAGTCTCCGGTGACGGTGTTCTGTGCTACGGGGCGGATACGACCCTGCTGGGCCGTTTTGCGTGCGTGCTGCCGGTCCCAGTCGGTGGCGATTGCGTCGTCATCCCAGATGGTGGAAGTCTCGGTGTCGCTGATGTAGCCTGGCTCTCCGGTGTAATGGGTGGGATAGAGCAGCAATGGCTCCACAGAAAAGGCTTTCAGGTTCCGTGGCTCAAAATGGGACATATACTGAACACTGAGGACAAGGAGAGAGAAACAATGAGAGATATACCAATATTCATTTTTGACTTGACTAAAACCTATATATCTTTTAGCTTTTTCTTTAATGTCAGATTAATGAACCAGTATTTTAACACTTAATCCAACAAAGTTATAAAACAATCCACTGAACTTTGTTTTCAAAGACGTTTTGCTTCCCATCCAAGAAGCTTTTTGGATGGGAAGCTAAACATCTTCTAACTTGTAAAACAAGTTTTTTTTTTTTACTTTTTTGGAATGACTATTACCTGGGTGACTGAGAATCGTCACCAGCATTTAACATCTTTTCTTTAAATATTGTTGGTTTAATCGGTTACAAGGGCTTCTCTATTTATTTATTTGATGCCTGGTATCCATGCCTTCTTAAAAGGTTCTTACGCCTTAAATACAAACCTCACTACAAACATGCAGGATTTTATGTTCCAAGCCAAAAATAAATAGATGCATGTTTTTATATTTTGTGAAATAAAGAGTGCCATGCATAAATATTTAACCCCATTCAAATAGATTTACATGAATAAAATTCTCCTTGGCAAAGCGCTGAAGTTGAACACCTACTGAACTGACCGGAGTATCCAGTATCAAATTAACAAATTTGGCTGCAATATGAAAAAAATTGGAAAACGTAAGTAGATATAAATCATTTGTCAAAGCACTGTCTGCAGACATTATTGTTAAAGTAATGTCAAGTGGCTGGTGAGGAGAATATAGATATGACATCCAATAGAGTCTATCCAACAGAAATCAAGTTTTACTGGTTATTCCAGGAAAACTAGCATAATGTTTTTAGGAGGCACTGGTTTAAAAGTTTCTATAAACCACAAACGTATGAATAAGCATATTTGTTTTGCACACCATTAAAAAGCACACTCCTGACCAAAAGCTACCAAAGTTCACTTCCTCCCTTCTGTAAAAACAACAGACTCATCATGTCCTCTAAACAGGATGTTCTGTTGCTTATGGTCGGTTAACCCAGGATTTCACTTCCACTGTCACACATTTTAGGAAGTCAATAAATGAGTAGAGCAGGATGTTTTGTTTTTTTCCTTTGCTAAAAAATGAGAAGCAAGAAGTTTAATCCTTGGGTTCACTGTTTTGCTTATATTTTGATTGCACACAGACAACACAGACACATTTTTAAGAGTTTCAAACTTTTTTGGTCTTAAGAACGTACTTTAGATAAATAGAAAAGCACTTGGAGAGCGTAGATATCCACCAATCAGTAAATTTTGCCCTATATTGTGACTTCCACCTATAGCTAAAACTACCAAATGATCTAGATCATTGGCATGAGGCGCACCTTTAGTAACAATTTCCTTAAAATCCTTTCACAAGTTTATAAATAAGGCACAGAGAGTGTCTGCAGCCTTTGGTGTTTGTTCTGCTTCCACCTTCTTCATACACTTTGCTTTCTTAATTGATCAGCAGATGGAGATTTTGAGTGAGGCATGGCTCACCTTTCCTTTGTTACTGGCTCAATACCAAACCGGCCCCTAAACACTAATCCTGAGCACAGACCCGCCGTTTGCTCGTTCCTGCAGAGGGTCCGCCACATTAAGTGTCATCCCAATCAACGTAGTGGGTAGGGCCAGTGGAACGTTCAGCCTGTAAATTGCGAGTCTGAATCAATTGCACGCTAGCTGGAATTCAGCAGGTGAAACAGCAGCCTGGTAGCGGAGGAAACACGTTCCACCAAATGTAAATTCAGCTGGTTTGCTGCATCTTTGTCACACTGACGGAAATATCACAGTTAGTTTATGAAAAAAAAACGTAATTCATTCCAAAATGGTATGTTCTCTTTCAGAATTGTTTTATTTGGCCATATACATTTGTTTTAAGAAAGGGGCAAATGTTAAATGTTATGTTAACCTGTTTCACACAGCTACAGCCATGCACATTGGGCGTCACTGTGTTGCCATTGGGCGTCACTGTGTTGCCATTGGGTGTTACTGTGTTGCCCATTCTCGTTTATACCCCCCCACCTTTAATCAAGGTGTCTTCCACAGCTGCGAGTGAGACTTCATTGGGAGTGACACTTGATAGTTAAGGGTTAGTGCTTAGGGGGCGGTTTGGGATTCAGTCTTTGTCTTCAGTATCACACTCCTGGACTTTTTGGAGTCCGATGCTGGAGCTGTCTATAGTCAGTGCTGCCACTCTCTGGTTTAGTGGGGAACTGCTTGTTCCGCCAAATAATGTTTAACAAACCTTTAAAAGTTCCTGTATCCAAATTATGATGTGGATCATCTCCAAAATTGAATGGATTGTTCCCTGGACTGAGATGTACCTTTGGTGAAATTTCATTAAAATCCATTCATAACTTTTCAGGTTATCCTGTACACAGATAGAAAAACAAACACACAAACTCGACTAAAAACATAACCTCCTTGGTGGAGGTAAATAGAGGCAGACTTTGTTAGGCCAGTGCCAAGAATCAATCTATTGTCTAAAATGGGTTGTAAGAAGCACATATAGTGCAAGCTAGGGATACATGGCCTTAATTTTACAAAATAAATGTGTTAAAATCCCAACCTGTTTGTGTGGACAGATTGTAGCACATGAGACAAGCTCTGCACATTTTTTGCTTCTAATTAATAGTTATCTAAAAAAGATCAACTTGAAAGGTTTTTTTGTATTTGCTGCGACAGCATTCTTTCTGCCTGCCATCAGCCCTGTTTGTAACTGCACTAATTTAACAACTATGATTTTATATTTGACATTTCTAGATACAGAAATAAAAAAAAAATATACAGGTGACAAATGTGTATTTCTTTTCTGATGTTTTCCTAAACCTATATTACCAACTGACTTATCAACAAAACAATTCAAATTTATTCAAAAAAAGTATAGGCAGCTGATGTTAGCTGATTGTATGAAGAAAACTTCTCTGGATTGTCATTGTCAGCTAAAGCACAGATTTTTATTTAGGGAAAACTGTACCAGTGGAGTCATATGTGCATTAGCAACATATCAACATGTTTTCATTATATTAAAGTGTCTTTTTTAATCTAATTAATAATTTCTTAAATTATATTTAAATTGATTGATGCCCAGTCTGGGCATCAATCTGAAAAGAAAAACTGATTTCAGATCCTCTCTGATGAACAGGAGGGAATTATACTTCTTTGGTTTTTAACATGTTATCTAAGGGGGAGATGATGTGGGAACATGATTTTCCTTTCATTGCATAATGCACAGCAGCCATATAGATGACAAGGCATATAGCTACTCTGATATGCTTATTTATTTTTAAAAAAGCTGGAATTACAGCATATCGCTCCTAATGCAATTTTAAAACAGATTAAATCAATATCAGATCCGGTTAATCAAATCACATACCCCTGTAAATTTGTGAGTACACTCAGCTTTATTTAAAATATATTTTAAGTCAATGAAATTTGCTTTTAAATCCCTATACTATCATTTTGCAACTGGAGCAAAGAAAGTATTGCGGAGCGTTTTTGGAGTGACACGTCACTAACCCAACTCTTACCCTTCATAAGATCCCAGAGGAACTAAGCTACAATAACACACTCACATTCACACACAACCCCCACACAAAATGTAGCCTTTTAATGTATTTTAAAATGAATAAAGACACTATTGGGCAATTTATACACGCTGGACACAAATGTTGGTATGTTAAAAGAAAGAGCCACACACACACTCACTGAAACATGCACACTTGTCCAGTGTTCATCCTAAACCCACCCCCATGCTCAGAGCACTATCAATGGGAATCCTGTCCCCCTGCAGCAGGCTGCAGGAAGAGCCACGCTGCCCGACATTCCTCAAAGAGAGAGGGGGAGGAAAAGTGGGTGACACAGCCATGAAAAAAGGTGTGCTCTCGAGCAGAAAGGAGAACAGCACAACTTTAGGAAGCTAAAGAAACATATAAGAAGCATTGAGAAAGACAGGCGAGAGATGGTGGGGGGCTAGAGGAGGAGGAGGGGGCTCGAACGGAAAACCCAAAGGTGAAGAAAAAAAAGAAAAAAAATGTAGGCATTGTTTGTCCTGCATGAGGCACCGTAAGGCACGCTGAGCAGTAAGAACAATCTGTGCCCTGTGTCTGTGAGGAAAGTTGTGCTGGACAGAAAGGGAAAACTGGAGAAGGACCCGAAAGTAATGAAGGACCAGTACAAGAAGCTGAACATGACAGAGGCAGCGGTTTACCGCAAACTGAAAGGCTGCCCACAGTGTAAAACAGTCACACAGGGAACAGGTCCTCACTTCTCTATGTTTAGATAATTACTGTACTGTTGTTCAATTAGTAGCTCTGCAGTGCTTTATTGTTTTTTTTGTCTTAGTGTGTGTTTTTCTTTTTTTCTTTTTTGTGGCAGCAGGATCCATGCATGCTGCAGGAGTTTAAATGCACATTTATTCTAATTTCCATTAAAACTGGATGGAATGTATGAACCAACGCTTCATCAGTCTGTTAGCTGTGTAAAACATGTAGGCTAACAGCACTCAGACACACTGCAGAATAGAGCTTTGTGGCTTTCTACTTTACAGTTCAAAAGGAGATTTGTTTGTTTTAAACATTTGTTCTCATTTAGCTATAGCCACATGTGTGCCAAACAGTTTTACCCCTTAAAATACATCTTCACATTTTACGTCAAACTCCTATTTCATGGGGCTCTTTAGACAATATACCAATTCCATATGGACTCTAAGTGGATTAAAATGAGATATGGTTGTCAAATATAAATGAAAATCAGAAAAGTGTTTTGTGCATCAGTTTGTGACCTCCTTTCTCTGTAATTACAGCACGTCTTTAGGGATCTTCTCTACAGGCTTTGAATCTCTAGAGGCTGACATTGTTTTTATAAATACACAATAGCTGGCACCGAGTCGACTCTTTGAATGGAGAGTCTGTTATCATCAGCTTTATATAGCCAATTGCACAAAGTATTGACTGCTTACAAATGCATACATGTTCAGTCATTTATTTATAAAACCACTTGAAATCATATTTAATTTTCCTTTGGCTTGTGTGGCTTTTTCACATAAAATCCCACTTAAATACACTGAGGTTTGTGGCAATAATAGAACAAAATATTAAAATGCATGCATCATTTTTAGGTGTCTTTTTTGTACTATAATCTTAGGTCTGAGAAAACTAGAGTAAAGGCTTACTTTGGATGTTTGTTGAACATGATGGGTAGAAATTCATCGACGGGCAGCATCTTTGTTAAAGGCTGAACTGCCAGTAACTTTCGAGCCCCCTCCTGTGAGAGAGCGTAAGCGAGGGTCCAGTAGGAATAGTCGGCTTCAACCAGGTTGTTCACACCTTCCACTGAATGCTCGGGCTGCTGTACCTGCATACGCTTCCTTCCCACATAGCTGGAGGTAGAAAAGGAAAGACAGAGTACGTCGCTTTCTTTAGGATCTAAAATGACAAGAGAACACAGAGGTGCTCATTTGTGTATTCAGACTGGTTCTCACATGAGGTCCCAGTCCAGGTGGGTTTTTTCTATGTCCTCCATTATAGCCTGAAGTCTTCGTTTAAACCTGGGCTCAAACCTCACATCATCCTCCAGAACAAGGACCTTCTGGAGGCCACGCTCAACCACCTGTGGAAGAGAAAAGTAAAAAGAGGAGAAAAACACATTTCAGCTCTATGACCAGTTTCCGTGTTCTGCTCAGTGTTTATAGGTTGACCGCCGAGGCGCTCATAGATCCCCCCCAATCATCACCTCTGGACCACCTTGCTTTACATTCGGTGTGAAGTGTTTTGAACAGACCCTGCGTATGTGGACCTTCTGCTCATTGTTTGTTTGCTCCACCTCCTTCTAAGAGTAGATTAAAAGTTGGGATAGGTTGATAGAAACTACATTTTCTTTCACCTAAATTATCTCCACTTCATCACCATCCTACAGTACACATTATGGAGCGTTATTAACATTTATGTGCAGAATCTCTGAAGACTTTGTTTATAATCTAATTTCTTCCTGCCCTCTTCCCTTAAGGGTTCATATATAATGCTTTTTTTAACCCAAATAATATCACTTCACTACTATGCCTTAGGGCTGGACTGAACCTGTTTTATTTTTCAGTCTAAGCCTAGCATGCATCCTTAGACTTGTCACATCTTTGCTGAGGATTTTATTCTGTTACTTTTAACGTACAGGTAGAAATAAGACGTATTTTTCTAATCCCAAATCACCAATATTTAACTTTTTAAAATACTGTTAAACAGTTTTTCTTTTTAACAATATCACCGTTTTTTTAAGTGCTGGTAAAAGGAAAAGGTTTAAAGAAAAAAAGGACCTGCGTTAAACATGATTTTTTAATTTATTTGCTTATGCTCCCGCCCTCACCAGTTTCCATATGGAGTGATGACTCAGGAAGCAGCCGATCTCCCCTCTGGTTAGGACGCGACCAGAATATGGATCCTTGTAGCCTGGCAACATCTCTATTCCAAGTGCCTGCAGCTGGGATGTATTCAGAGCTCTGAGAGAAAGACAATAAAAAAGAAAAGATGATGTAGAGAACAAAAATGCAGCATAAAGGAATCTAAATAAACATTTTATTCAACTGAATTAGTCGTCATTATAAACCATGCACGAACATCATGCTGCCACACAGGTTGTCAGACAAATAAAGGGACTTACAGGGATTAGGAGATTCCTAAGAATGGATTAAAGTCTGCAAGAAGGAGGAAAAATAACTCAAGCAAGAAGGAATGAATACAAAGTTAGAGAGGAAGAAGGGCTTCCTGACAGGAAATGTGACAAACTCAAGATGAAAGACGAAAGCTGCTGGAAAGACTTTGGTTGTTTCTGAGTAAATCAGTCTGCCTTAGAAAAAAATTCAGATTTCTGATTAAGATGCTAAGCATGCAGGCGTGTAGCCTTTGTGACCTACTTTCCGTCCACGGCGTCAATCAGTGTGCCATGAATGCCCAGGGAGGCCATTGTTTTCAGCATCCTGGTCCTTCTGTCCAGCCGCCGTTTCAAGTTGATCAGGAAAATCTACCGTGGCAAAATAAAACAACTCATTCCACAGTGGACAAACAAAACAACAAAACTAGGATTTGACACTGAAAATGTTTAGATTGTTGATTAGAAAGCAAACCTAAATACCAGCAGACTTACTTCATCAAAGCCCATTGTATCCGGGGGCAACAGTGGTGCGTAGACGTACTGAGAAGGATCGATGTCGTGTTCAACTGATAAGAAAATACCAAGGGGTCTATGTTAGGTCTGAGCAGAAACAGGGAGGGGTTGGAGGGGTCTTAGAGAGGGGTCACCATGGAGCCATTATGAAGGGTCATCAAGGTCAAGAGGGAGAAGAAATAACACTGAGAGGTGAAGAGGAAGTCAAGAGGTAATAAAATCTAAACATGAGGCGTCTTGAAGAAACTCACTTAGAGCTTCTGTGACGGTGTGTATGAAACTCTCCTTTTCATCCTCCACGTTTTGTTGAGCTTTGAGAGGGACGGGCAGGAAGCCATAGTGTTCCTTGTTGCACACATACATCTGCACGCCTGAAACACACACACACATAAACAGAATGCTGTAAGACAAACATTTCCAACACACATGGAAATTAGGCCAGCATTTCATCCTCTTATCCTCGACCCCAGAGCAACCGCAAACTTAAACACAAAGGCATTCTCACAGAAAAATAAACATAAGAAGAATTAAAATAAAAACTGAAAGAAATCAGGACCATTTAAACACCAGTGTTGCTTTTTCATAGTCATGTAAACTTTTCTTATCCTAATATGTCCAATTAGTTCGTTTTTAGCTCACCAACATGACAGAATAAGCTATTGCTTACACAGTTGTCCATTTACAAAATTGTCAAAACATGTTTTAGCAGGTAAGATGAGAAAGGCTGGATGTAGTTGTAATAATTATTAAGCTTAGTCAATTATCTAAAAAAAGAAACTTTTTTGAGCAAATATAAAAATATAGGAATAAATAAATATATAAGATAAACACATTAAAAAGTCTTTTAATGGAGCAAAAAGCAAGACCTTTTAAGCGTTTTCTATTTTTTTTTTTTGTAGAAAAGCGATCACAAATCCTTGTTTTGTTCTAATAAAAATATTACCTTTTTATTGTATTGCAGGCCAAAAAAATATATACTTTCTGAATGATAATGATTTTCTGTCTTAAATAACAAAAATAAGATGTTTGGCCACTGAATCATTTCTGCTTAATGATTTGGCCCTTATGAAAATACACGGTTTAATCCCTTATTAACCTTCACAGATAGAACACATTTTCTACAGATATATAGATTGTTCTACAAAACAATTTTATGCCAGAATACTGTTTTGGTATAGTTTAAAGTTGGTTTTTGTCACCTCCTTAGCAAAGATTAAAACTTTAAATAGAAAACACAAATGTGTCTGTTTTAAATAAGCTTTTTTGTGATATGGCAGCAGGCGATAAAGAAGATAAACATTTATTGGCCCTTAGGTTAAAACATGGTGGTGGCAGCATTATGTTATGTGCATGATCTTTTATTGAAGAGCTTCACTGGAAAAACATGTAGAAATAAGTAACAATCTCTTAAATTAAATGAATTTACCCTTAATTTAAGTAGGAAAATTAGATACTTTGCCAATGGAATGAGAACTTTTAGTCTTAAAATAAGATGATTATATAATATGCACTTGAAATAAGATAATGCAATTGTGTTTTCTTATTTTAAATGTAAATCGTCTCGTTCTAATAGGCAAAATGTCTCTTTTATCCCCTCAATTCAACAACAAAATCACTTACTTTAAGAAAAAATGACTTATCTAGATTTCATTTTTTTCCAGTGTAATGTTCGAATTATAACAATGACTCAAAAGGTTGCAATAATCGACCCATGAACAGAGTCATGCAGTTTTTAGGCCATGTTTTGTTATTTTCTAGAAAATGACCAAGTTTCTTCAGCATTTAAAAACATTACTTAAGATGATTTAGATTTGTGGAGAGCAGAGAAATTACTAATCAATAAAACTTCAGAATTAGAAAGAAAAACTAGCAGAAGGCAACAAGGCAATATATAAAAAAGAAACAGAGAGGAAACTCCACTACTTTTGATTAAGCTCTCAAGTGAATAATTGTTCTTTTAACACATGTGGGAGAATGTGCAACAAAACAGCAGAAATGCAATAATTTAAAGTCGAAATATTGGATTTTTTTTCTTACTTTCCAGATGCATTTTAAACAACAATGCCAAGTACTTTTTTATGTTCATGAAGAAACGTTCTTCTCCACTTTAGCCCTAGGAAGAAACACAAAAAACTTGGGGGGGGGGGGGGGGGGGGGTCACAGAGTAAAGTCTCAGGGGTCAAGAAACCAGGTGTCCCACCTGGATGGTAAATCTTTGAAGCCTGGACAATAATGAGCCTTAAGGGTGTAAAATCTCTGATTTAAGAAATAATTGAAGTCACCTTTATCCTCCTGGGGTTGATATTCATTTATGAGTTGGACAAAACTTATGCTTCCATCTGCTAATGTTTACATTAATCCTTTCATGTGTTTATTTGGTTTTGCAGCACATACGAGGACGTTTAATGATCCTGCTTGTTACCTGTTGCTGATTATTAACTCCACAAACTGTGCAGCCAGAAAAGCTGCACATACTCAGCAAAGCAATGCATTGCAGACATTTGTCTCTGAAATCTAGAATGAATCTGACATGCAAAGAAACTGTTTCAGCTGTTCATCAGTACACTTTGGCATGATGTAAAAAATACCTTCTTTGTTTTGAGTGACTGCTAAGCTAAGACAGTGACTGATGGCACGCATTTCATGAGGAATTTGCTTCCTTGCATGAAGTCTCGTGGTTTGGTGAGAGCTGCAAACCGACCTGCTTGACGTGCCGAGAAGGCAAACACCATGATATCATCAAAGGCCCAGCTGTAGTCCGGATGAGGTGGGTAGAAAGCCAAGTCCCGGCTGGATTCACGCCGAAGATCCAAAAGAAAGGTGCTGTGCACCATGGGAACAGGGAAACAGCCAAGCCTCTTCCACTCCCTGATGGGCTGGTAGTCCGGGGTTCGCTTGTAGTAACCCTAAGAGACAAAGATGTTTAGTTGATAACTCTGAGAGGATGGATGAATGCGCTGACTAATGCCTGAGCTGCACCTGTGGGGTGACACCACACCAGAAGTTGGAATAGAGAGAGCGAGACTCCAACATGGGGGCGACCAGCGTCAGGTTCTCGGCCATCAACAGGCTCAGCACTCGGGGGTTGGTCAGCAGGTTGTCACTGTCAACAAACTGAAGAGGGGTTGCTTTTAAAGTAAGGAAGCTTTATGTTTTGTTAAAAGACAAAGATGAATAAAAACAGAAAAAAAATATTAAATATTTACAACAGAATTATAAATTCTGATCAATTCTACACAGCAAAGTTAAAGTATTCATGAAGTTACAACCACAAAGATCATCTATAAACAGTATTTCTTCCCAATTTAATTGGATTTGTTGTGGACTTTGACTGGCCAATTCGAATCCAACATGACTATGCTTCAATCCAACCCTTCCCATAGCGGTCATCAATGTCCTCTGATCTGCTGTCTGTCTAAGCTGCAAAAAGAATCACCCAACAGGATGTTTTTACCACCGAGTCTAACAATGGAAATGTTCGGTTTGGGTTATTATGGCTTGTTTTTTTGATAAAAAAAACACACTAATGGAGCCTGAATACTGATTACTGATTAGAAATTGATCAAAGTTTTTCTGCATTAATAAGTCAAATTCAAACCATAATTATTCATTTTGAAATTATACGCATAAAATAAAAACATTTCACTGATGAAGCCTAAAAAAACCCACTATGTGTAAGTCCTACTGAGTAAAGATTAAATCCTTGATGTATGCCTTCCTATTTCTACTTCAGGTGTTACCAGTATGTAGTCGGCCCATCGTTCCCTGGCAGCCTTCAGGGCCGCCTGTCTCAGCTTCATGACGTGGCTGAATCTGGAAGGAGGCCAGTGTTTCGGACCCCACTCATCTGTGTAGGAACTAAAAAGGAGAGTAGAGAAAATCATCATCGTTTCATGAATAACATTTAGAGATGTTTGACTTTGTTTAGACATTTTGTCAAAGAAACTAAGAGTTCACTTGTCCATTTGATGAGTGGATATTGTCATATTTTAACCCCTAACAATTGTTCTTTCAAATAAAAGGACCATAACTATAGCTAATAAAGTATATGCAATAATATATATATATGGATGGATGGATGGATGGATAGATAGATAGATAGATAGATAGATAGATAGATAGATAGATAGATAGATAGATAGATAGATAGATAGATAGATAGATAGATAGATAGATGGATGGATGGATGGATGGATGGATGGATGGATGGATGGATGGATGGATGGATGGATGGATGGATGGATGGATGGATGGATGGATGGATGGATGGATGGATGGATGGATGGATGGATGGATGGATGGATAGATAGATAGATAGATAGATAGATAGATAGATAGATAGATAGATAGATAGATAGATAGATAGATAGATAGATAGATAGATAGATAGATAGATAGATAGATAGATAGATAGATAGATCTCTGTTCATGAACATACCTCGGTTCCTCCATCGGCCTCCACTCCACGTAGTGATAAACACGCTGTGCTCTTTTCAGCCATTCTCTTAACATAGCAGTGGTGTTGTCCACATTGTGGTCTGTTGCTGCCCTGTAAAACATGCAAGGCTTTAAACTTAGACATGAGCTAGGGCATGCTGGGATCAAGGTATGGAGAGCAGGTTTTATAATGTAACAAAATTAAGCTTCAACCAGCAGGCTCAGTGTTGTAAACCACACATGCTGCAGGAGAGTTGATCAGTTCAAAGCAGCTGCAGTGAAAACAAGGCTTTTCTCAGGTTTTTGGGGAACTGATGCAGTTAACTTTGAACAAAAGCTGTCCTAAAGTAACAAAGCACAAACTAACACATATGCACTTACAGTAGCTTCATTTCAAAGATCCCCAACTTGGTTAAAGGTGTTCAATCATAGAAACAATGGAATCACTGTGCTTAATAGTCAAGTGTATGCAAATTTATTAAAGACAGAAATTAACCAAGAACATCCAATGCACTTTATTTTATTTATTTATTTTTTTTCAGGAATAACCAAAATAAACCTCCACCGTTCCCTTCCTCTACCTAAAATTAAAAGGTAATTTAAGGCAAACTGTCAACAGGATATTAGGAAAAATCCCGCGTCTGGCCATGTGAAAACAAACAGACATTTGGTGGTTTTGGACTTTTCCACTGCCGGCTGTAATATTCCTAGCTGTGCCGTCTTTAAAATTTGCTGCCATTTTTAGGTTGGACAGATAAACAAACAAACACACTTTACACAGCGAAAAACCAGCCAGGTCTCCACACATTTACATCCCCACATCGACACACTACACCTGTTCTCTTACTTTTATGGAAATAAACACACAGAAAAACTTTTTTTTTTTCAAACATTGTTCCCCTAAAAATCTCCGATCTTACTCACATGTGGAATTTTGATTATCTTCTGGGAAACAAATAAAAACCTCATCCAAATTAAACATCTGCAGGCCACAAACTACAGGGTCAGCCATTCTAATACTATGTGTCTGTATAAGTATGTACTTGCAAATATGTGGCAGAGCATGTGGATGATCATTTCTGCATCCTGGGAATGTTCTTTTACAGCAGTGTGACCTGTTATTTATGTGCTGCAGGACTACTAGTTTAAAGTTTTCAATAAGCGTGTAAAGCTAAAGTAAAACTGGGAGGATAATGGCACAGGCAGGGAAAAACTGACTTTGATGACTGGTTCCAATATGTTTTTTTGTTGTTTTTCTTCTGGGGGGTTTGTTATTATAGGCCAGGTCAAAAGTGAAACACCTGACTGATAATGAGACGATGTGCAAACATGTTTATGTGCAGGTTTCTTCACTGTGCTTCTGTCAGTAATAATAACTGTGCTCCTGCAGACTCCATTTGCTTATTATTAATTACATTTAATTTATTTCAGTTTATGTATAAAGCGTCAATTTACAACACATGTCATGTTAAGGCACTTTACGGGGACAGTTTAATTAGATCATAAAGTCAGATTGGTTCATAGTTTTCTATCTAAGGAAAACCAGCTGATTGCACTGACTCAAAGGCAATCCCTATTGATCAAGAGAACATCTTAGAGAAAAAGTAAAAACAATGCATAATATAATATATGGGAACTGAGTGTGTCACAGAGCTTTTTCAAACACCTTCTGCATCTAAATTCTGTTTCTGACTTCATGAACAGTTTTCTTACTACAGTGTGTCCTTACTGGGCTTGCTCTGTCTACCTCCAAATTGAATGAGGATTGTTGGAATGGCTGTAATTCTGTGGGCAATCTTAACTTCATCAAAGATGCCAAAAGATGTAAAATGTGTCTTTAACTTTATACCATCATTTATTTGGTTTTTTAACTTTTTAAACATTGATTAATAAAGCTTCATTTATCCAGTTGGTGGATTTGCTTCACTGTTTTCAGAGTTCAGTGGATCCCTCCTAGAAGCCGCTCTGGGCACTGAGGGCTCAGTAAACTGTGATTTTCCATTACAGCTATTACATCTCCGGGCACTCTCTTATTTATGGATATGTGAAACTAAATTATGCTTAAAGCTCCTTGCAAAGTTATTCACACCATTTGACATTTTCCACTTTTTTTTATTTGAGAAATATAAGCATCAAAGTATTTTAAGGTATTTTATGTAACAGGCTGAAAGAAAGTAGTGCACAAACGTTAAGTGGGAGGAAAATCAGCCATTTGTTAAACAAACTTCGAAAAGTCTAGGAAGTATTTTTATTTAGGAACCTCTGAGTTGCTAAGGAACAACAAAGATAAAACACCGAAAGCTAATAGAATGTTTTATTCTATGTGGAGTTCAAAAATAAATAAATCTAGCCAATAAGGAGGGACTTAATTTTAAACCTTTAAGAGAACGAAGGTCCCACTGGAGATTTTACACATGGCACAGTGGCACAATAGTTCAGTAAGTTATTCAGGCCTGCGGCTGATGACAAGTTTATTAAGGATATTTTTTAAATGCATCTTCTCTCTTGCTTGTCTTTCTTCTTCTGACATAATGAGTTTCTACTTTAAGCCCTTGTTAGTCATGCACCACTTTGGAATAATCTATGATATCAAATCTAAGTAACATACTTTAATGTTCAATAATTTTCCAAGGACTTTTCTTTTCAGGTTTAACAATTTTATCTCTTTAAAACAGTTTCTGACAAGTGCTTGTCCTTTCCGGTTTCATTTTCCCTAAGTTAATATATCAGAGTCTCTACAGCTGATTTCAAATCCACAGGGGGATTTTGTCCATCTGTTCATAGAAAGGAAACCCACAATGGATGTGCAACCCTCCATGCAAAACAATGAGAATCATTATAATACTGTTTTTCCATATAATAAAAAAAATCCCCAAAAATCTGTTTGTTTGTTTTTTTTTTTTTTTTATCTGTTGTTTTCTTCTGTTGCAGCTGGCTATCCTACTCTCTTGCCTCATAGTGTTCACACGTTGCTGTTTTTTAAAGCTTACAGTAAGCAACAGCCTCATTATTCTGTTGCCTGCAGCTTTAGGAGTTAGGCTTCCTCTCTTCTCAGAATTTATGAGCACCATCTGGACAACACATGAGAGCAGGGCCCTCACCTACACACCACCGTTCCTTTAATATCACTTCAGAGACTTCCATTTATACGTCCCCTATCTAATCTCCTCAAATTCAATCTTTATGTAAACATGAAGGCAGTCATCTATTAGATATTATCATCTAAAAGATTATACAAGCTGCACAGAGTGAGAACACAAACATCAGAGTGACTCCTGCTACAAACAGACCAATCAGCCTTCATTTTCAGAGGCTCTCATCTCATGCATCTGTGCAGCCAGTAAAGTACTAACAAAGTGGGACCTTTCAAGCTGTTGTAAAAGGTTCAGTAACAGGAAGCTGATATTGTAGATCACCTGAGGGCTGTAGGATCAGGCTTGTTCCTGCAGCCTCTCAGAATCTCAGTTAAACTGGAATCTTAATTGATGCCACCCAAGAAACCCCTTTCCTTTTACAAATGAACAACAGAATGCTACTATAATGTAACATGATTGGGTATTATATTATTGCAGTGGTTACATTTAATCTGATAGAGAGTTAAATATTTAAAGGTAAAAGCTACAACTTTCTCCGTCAAAATGAAAAACTTTTCAATAATAATGCATCCACAGAACATCTAGAGTGGTACAACATAAAATGATTAATTCTACTAAAATAAAGATTCTAATTAATTGTTTAATGAATGTTGATGTAAATTAATTATTATATAAATATTTAGTTCTGGCTACAATGTTTGGGTCAAAATGAAAGGAATCTGCTTTAGGAGTGATAGGTTGAAGTGATGTGAGACGGAGCTCAGGCTTTGAAAGATGGTGGCTCTGTGATAGAGCTGAGGAAAAGCTTCTTCTCAGTGTTACATTTCTCAGATTCAAGTCAAAGGAGAAACAAAGCAGCTACAAGAATGTAGACTGATGTCTATGGCGATCACCTGAAGGCCACTAAATAAAGTCCTTTGGGCCTCCTGCACTACGAAAATTACCTTGTAAGCAAGATGAATTGTTGGGAGATTTGTGAATTCAAAAACTCCTGAAAAGACATCTTGCAAGAAGCCAATGGATACATTAGCTTCAAATACAGAAATGTTTAAAACAAATTAGACTCAATTCAGTTTATTTATATAGTGCCAATTCACAACACTAGACGCAGTGACGTGTATGACATCAACCAGAAGCAGGAAACTGAAGCAAAACAAACATGGCTGTGTCTGTGGATATATCTGTAGACTCCCCTATTCAGTCTGTTCTAGCTGGAAAACCATCTGTTTCTTTTTGAAAACAAGCAAAACAATGCGATTTGGGCCTTTGTGGATTGGGCAAGAGTTTAATTTATCAGTAAACTCTGGTAGTTGTGGAACAAATAAGGAAGATGCAGAGGGATCCTTTTGTCATAATTGCGTCTCTTTAAGTCGCTCTCATGGACGACCAAGAGGCTGAAGCTGAGAAGCTTCGCAATACTGCTGTAAACGTTGGCGACAATGATGAAAAAGTCCTGTGAAGTGATCACCAGCTGCTATTTGGGAATCCAGAATCATGGCTGTCTAACTCTAAATGGAGAGACATGCTGAAGTACACACCACATACAAATGGTAAATCAATATAAAACACATACGTCTGATACATAACATCTTCTACTGCTACTCTGACTGGCTAAAAGCTTGTAATGGGAGGCAGTGCCACTTGGTTCTTTACCCAAGAACCGTAGTTCCCGCAAACAGTCACACTGTTCGCAAAACTATGTCCCTCTAGTTTTGCGAACCCTTTCCACAGGAGCCTTTCCAGATGGATAGTGTGCAGAATTCAGATTGAACTACATGTATTAATCTGGTTTATGCCAGGTTACTACCTACATACCTAGTTATTAATCCTTCTGCAGCACACTTCATTAATTACCCACTCCTGCAAAGTGTGTCAGATATTCTGCCCCAAAACACAGAGACTGGCCCTTTCAGATAAAGACAGGTCTGAAAGGAGCTAGCATCATTTTCAGCACACTGTTGACCCAATAAGCTATCTAGTATCATCCCCAATGGAATTAAGGAGTGAGAAAACCCCT